AAGATGCCGGGTTTTGGGGTCTTTGGGTTCTTGGGGAGGTAAGTTTTTGGGGGAACCAGGACTTTTTTAGGGGGCGGGCAGAGCGGGAGGGTTTTTTGCCCGGGCAGAGGGTGGCCCCTAGCCCCATAAAACCCGGGCAGCAAAGGGTCCCACAACAAGGCCATCCCAACAAGGAAGGGGAGGAGAACAAAAGAAGGGGTTTTCACTCCAGGGCTTTGTTCACCAAAAAGGAAAATTTTTCCGGGAGAGAAACGGGAACCCCATTCTGTTCTTATGGGCCTTCCAAGGGGTTTAAATTAAAAAGGGGGGCCATCCCCCGGCGCGGGGGGGGGGGGGGGGGGGTGAAAGCCGGTCTGAGCATCGAAGCAATGCGATACCGACGGAACGAAACCACCAAGCAAGCAATCCAAAGGGGACCTCGGTATCAGTTACAGCACAGAGTGGCCACTCTGACGAAGTCGACCTTGCACGATTATCCTTGTTCTTTGATGTCTACTATGCTATAGTCAGCGTCGGCTCAATCGAAGCTTCTGGCTCTTAGTGACGGGCTGAATATGGGCAGGCCGGGTGTTCATGCACCTCGTGGGAACTAATCGCTGTTGGTAGTTTGCGGTGCAACCGTGCATCGCAAGCAGTGCCAACTGTTGTTCACACTGGTCGAAGCTGATGACGCAGTTCATGATCAAGGACAGACCTGATTGAAATCGCCCGGTCTTCCAGGGTCGACGATGCTGCCGGCAAGATCCCTGGGGCGCGCATTTGACGGTTTCGTGGGGGAACAGAAGGTATTGTTGTACGGTCGCAGCACCAACCATGGAACAGAATCAAGTTGCGAATGTGGAATACACCTCAGATTGTGCGGCAGGTGCGCGTGTGGACAGATGGTTCATGTAGCACGCAAAAAAAAATCTCCGGTGTGCTGACGCTGCTGCCGTGTTCCCTGGGCGCCTTCAGATCCATAGGAGTTGAATTTCACTCCACCGAACCCGAACGAAGAGCACATCCAAGTCCGTGTCGGTGCAGTTCACGTCGTCAACCATTGTTTCCCGGGAATGCCTCTCTAACGTTGTTCAGCGTGACAACCTCACCAGCAAAGCTTGTTGAGGCCTGCATTTTTGGGGTCAGAGGCAATTGCCCGGAGCCTCGCCAGTACCCGGATCACGTTTCCGTCCACCAGCGGTTCGCACTCCCCGAAGGCGATGGAGGCCACGGCTCCTGCCAGAGGGATGCACGCAACCGACAGCCAGGAGGCACGCGTGGTTACCCAAAGAGTCAGGTTATCCTCCCGTATGTTTATTTAGTGTTGGTGAATGTCTCAGCGTGCATGTGGCTCGGTCATGAAAGGGTAAGGCGTGCACAGGCCAAGACGTGATACGACCGCCGGGGTAACCAGAACGAATGGGACCCCACAGACAATGCGTCGCCCATGAAATTCACTCTCGGCAACTCCAGACAATTGATTCCACAAGGCCAGTGCTCGAACTTGGGCAGCGTTTATTCCACCTCCAACAGCGATGACAGAGTCATCGGTGGTTTTTCGTCAGGCGGGGGGTTTCAGGCAGGACACCACTCAAACGCATTACAATACGATAAGGCTTGGGTCACGTTCCCGAGGCCCTACGCACCTGCTGTGTACGGCCCGATCCCAGGTAGATCTTTAAGTTCTTTGGCCGTGCCCGGGAGACAGCCGCTGTGGTCCGACACCACCTTCTTCGCGCCCTCGTGGAGCATCTTGGCTCGACGATAATAGCCCAGCCCTGCCCATGCCTTATTTACCTGCGGTTCACGGCAGAAGGTGTCACGAACTTCGAAGACTTCGAATCACCGTTGGTATTGCGACATTTTCAGCTTGAGCTGAGTTCACGTGAATCACGACATCAAGCAGGTCCGCCGGTGTGACCGCAACAGAACCATCACCTGTTCTAGGCTGGCCGCTGCAAGATCGTTCGGTGTCGGGAATAGCGTCATCCACTTGACGTAGTAGTCGATCACCGTCTCCACCCTCGTCTGCTGCAACATCACTTCGGACACCCAAGTCCCGTACGCACTCATCTGCAACCGCGAAGAATCACCGGAAAGAAAGACCACGAATTACGCGTGACGTGGGCGTCCTCATGAATCCACCAGCGGTGCAGCACAAACAAATAGTCAGGATAGTACATCTGCGTAAGAGATTACAGGTAGCAAATACCACGCGCCAAGAGAGAAAATAGTTGGCAAACCTACGATTCTTCAGGTTTGGTGTGAAATGCGACCGATGGTCGATACCGCGACAAAAATGCTAGAAATCCCACCCGGAGAGGCATTGCTGCGTACTGTAGATAAACCGACATGGTGATACCAGGCAAAGAAAGCCCTCCACACGTCAACTCGAGATCTTGGTGTTCCCCCTACAATTGTGCAAACATCGCCAAATGTCTCGCACCGGTATTCTCTTCAGCAGGCTTGGTTGCTCCTCTTCTACTGCTAGCGACAGAACGTCGTTTCCCTCTTGCTGCCGCTGCTGCTTTAGGCCAAGCTCGGATTCCGATGCAATTCCCGTGCTCCTCCTCTTTCTTGCAACCTCCGTTGGATGCTGTCCCTGCTGTTGTTGTTTTGGCTTGCTGCCAAAAAAGGCTGTGAGGCGGGGCTGTGCAGGGTTCTCCTCCTTGGCGGATTTAGATGTCTTGCCCTTGCGGCCTGTCGCGGCACCTGGTGCTGCAGATGCTGCTGGCGTTGATGTTCTGTAAACGCATGACGTATTCAGGCCCGAGTGGTGGAAAGTGGAGGTACATGCATACCGTGTTAAGACTTTCAGCGGGGTTCGTAGGTCGGGCGGCGAAAGCAGTTTCATAACCATTTCGGCCGATCCTGATCATCAGGAAATGGCTGTGTAATCATCTAATTTCCTGACTAACACTCTGCCCTAAGTTCCTGAATGGCAACTGGCGAGGACAAGATTGACGCTGAACGGAAAGACGGCCATCAACGAGATGCCTTGGCGCACTTCGGCGAACGGCACGTGCCGACTCTCGCGTAGACGAACCGTCATTGTGGGGAGAGTGTTGTATTCGCTACGTGCAACGACATGGAGTATGTAAACAGCAGTGCACTGAACAACTGCAACAGGTTGCTTTGTGTCAGGATGAACATCACGACCAAGCCGGCATTCGCGGAGTGTTGCCGTCAGGTCGAAAACTCATCACAGGTATGTACCTTCTGTTGTTTTAGCTGGAGAACACGGCAATGTTCTAGGGCACAGGAGGAACTGTGCAGACTAGTATGCATAGCGTCAAGAAAAATCAACAAATCAAGCCCACGTATTTGCCGCCTTCCCTCGCTCCACTCGACCCCCCCGGTGTTTGCCATCGGGGTTGGGTTTTCGTCGCTTGGAAGCGATGTTGTAAAACAAGCGGATCATATCGTGAGCTCGGCAGCCAGGTTACCGCGTTCTTTTTTTCCTTTGTTTTTTTTCTTCGGTAGCCATGAATGGTGGTCGAGTAGATCATGTTGTGCGGGGTCGAGAACCCTCACTCCGCGCAAGGGGGATGATCGCACCAATTTGTGGTAAATTGGTCAAGCACCCTCGAGGCAGTTACACAGTGCTTACAACTGTCTCTGGAAGTGAAAGCACCAGAAAATAAATGAAGTCATACACAGCTGTCATCCGTACGAAAGGAAGTAAGCACAAGATGCCGAACACCCTTAGCAGGACGCAGCGCGCCCTTCATGTGACTCGAGGAATACCTCACGGCGCTTCGCGCTTGGTGATGTGAGAGCCTGGTCCGGTGAGAACCCGGCGTGTTCCGTCCCGGCTTTGTAGGGATGCAAGGTCAATGGTCTATTTGTAACGATTACGACATGCACGATTATGAGTCCCCCCCCCCCCCCTCGCTCCACCTCTATGCTCTCGAAAGGAGATCGATACAATAATCCGAATGTTTTTTTCTCACAGGTGCGCAATTTGCGGCACTCTTCAAGCAGTACCTCACCATCTGGGACTGAAATTCCAAGCGTAGCCCTACATTTCCACCAATTAGTTTGTGGAAATCAAAATGTTATTGTTGATATGTCACGTGTTTTTCACGCTCAAACATGCTCATCATTCGCACATGTGCGCGCGATTCGTAGCGCATTTACGAGTAGGCTCGCCTCTATCGACCGGTGTATTGTACTGCTGCAAATCTCAAAGGACTCACCTTGTCCAGGGGGGAGGATCACCCCGCCAGGGCAGCCTGCGGCGGGTTTCATCATACCACGACAAAAGGCCTTGCCGCACCATTGTCACCTGGTACCACATTGTCGAAACGAAGCAGCCAGGCGGTGTCAATATCGAAACATGACAGCGCACGTGCCACTTTTGTCTGTAGAAAGAGTTCGGTCAGACTATGTGGTGGCCGGACCATATGCAACGTCCAGTTCAGCAGTACCAGCCTACGTTCAAGCACGGCGAAGATAGAAGCCAACAACAGATAATTCTTCCGCACAAAGGCTCTTCGATTAAATCATTAAATCCACGTCTCTATCGTGCTGTGGCAAGAAGCCCGGGCGTTGCTTGTATCCTCTGACCTACCACCCCCCGCCCCCTTAATGGCCAGAAAAGCTGTAAAAGTGTTGAAGGTAACTCGGGGTTATGTCCCTCCACCAAGAATCTCTTACCTACTGAGGGCCTGTTTTAACGTTAAAAAGTTGCACCTAAATTGAGGCCCTGCAAAAGCTAAGTTTCGGGGGGGTGCCGGGGGCCAAAGACGCTGATTGGTCAACAGGAAAAAACAAGGCTCTTCTCTGCCTGGAAAAGCGGGACTTCGATATCGGGTGCAGCAAAAAACAATTGCAATTTGAACTGTTTTTTGCTGAATCGAAGTACCCGAGTTGCACTGCACCCTTTTTACACCCCCGTCGATGAGCTGAACTACTGTTGGCGTTACCCTTAACTGGACCGCATGTGACACACTGGCCATGCGGCACCTACAACCTACACGTATCGCCCACTGCCCGCTGCTGGGAATTAGCTGTATTGCATTGATTTATGTGAGCGTGTCAACTTTTGGCGCCGGTTGGGTTGCTGTGAGGGTGCTTTCCAATAATATGTGCGATGTCAAGAGTCAACGGCGGGTCGTGTGCAGCGAGACAGTCCAAACAAAAGTAGAGCAAGCCTGAGGATGAGGCTTGGACCGCTGGCACCGCCTGCTGATGCTTAGCTTCGTATGTGCACTGACATAATTTTTACAGCTCCCGTGTGGTGCACACGGTCTATCGCTCTACCCGGTTGGTCACCGCGTCACCTCGCGGCAGCGATTCCGCCGCATTTGGGCATTTGGGTGTTGCATTTGGGTGTTGCTGAAGCTCGATGTGGCAAAATTACGTTACAACAACGCAAACGTCCTTTTTGTCCAAAAACCCAATTAGGTCCATCCAAAATTGGGTCCTCAAGTAGGGAAGTACAACTTTTTACAGGCCCTACTTCGTTTGGAGTACAAGTACACAGTAGTAAAACACCAGCGGTAGAAACGGAAAATCTGAGCTTCCGCTGGAAAAGGGGGATTCCTCGTCAGGTGCGGACACATTTACATGTAAAACTGTAGTAACAAACAACCGGGAGGACGTATAGGTTTCGTAGCGGGACAAAAGGCGTTATCCAGGACAACCGAGGGGTACATCAATGCCCAACACCAGCACCATTGTCAGCACCCTACAGCAGTAATGTGGTACCAATCGGACTGAGGGCCGCATTCAACCCATTGGCACTACTGAGGGACCCGCACTCTTCAATGGAGAGGTCAAGAACGATTTTCATTAGAAAGGCAACAACAGCAGCAGCAACAACAACAAGGCACGTCCATATGGCACAGTCCAGTCACGCAGCACCACACACCACACACGCTCACGAGCAGCATCTCCCGCGAGCGCGCGGATCGATACCTGCAACCTGTTTTTTACGTGCCGCAGTTTGAAATTTGAATTTTGTTCGTAATGCGTACTGCTGAAGTCTCGACTCTCTGGGGCATGTTCACAGAGGCGGCAGATGAGCGAAGGTTTGATGTCGTTAGCCGGGACAAAACCTCTCACCTCTTCCGCCGTGAAGGCATGATACGTCACTGCTTGGTGTTGCCTGTAGTCCCGCACGAACGCCGCAGGCAACTCTTCAATATCGTCGAAATATGAAGCGGCTCCAAGAGGTTTGGGAGGAGAGCGCGGCATCATGGGGACCGTGTAAAACCTCGGCCTTACTGTCGATATCGCCAACGTGCCAAGGCCAGCTCGCAATATTGTCACCAAAGTCAAACCTAGCTCTAGCATATCCTGTGCATGGCACAGCAACACCCCAGCAGGCAACACCACGAGCCACCGGCAAACCTACAACTTGTCCAAGGGGGGTGCGCAGACTGGAGATTTCCCTGCTGCTCTGATCATACCTGTCCGGGGGTCCGCAGATAATGTTGTCTTTTAATCGGATCGGTCGGCAGATCTTTGCTACGCTTCGGACAAACAGCAAAAGATTCGAGGACACTTCAGTAGACTCAGTAGACTCAGCGGTGAATTGAGTCAGATGTGAATGAAGTCTTTGGTACCTACCAAAGATCACACGGTGTACGGTGACCGCTCCCTGATTTTCCATTTTTGTTTTTGCATGCAAACCCACGCATTCATGTTACCCTAGACTTGCGTACAGTAGTCCATGTGTACTTCTTTAGACAGGGCCTTTTGCGTCGTTTCAGGACAATTGTCTTCTCGGACTTTTAGTCTATTCATTTATCCTACCTACTGCTGTAGAGAGAGAAAAGGTGCCCGTAGTTTTCCACATGATGCGCTGAAAGGATTTTGTACGGATTCTGACCTCTCTACATGCGACAGACTATATATAGATAGCGCCCGCACTTAGGAACTCAAATTGAACCTCGAAAAAATCAGAAGCTAAAAACTTGACGACCATTTTGAGCCCCGTTAAGAACCCCTACATTAAATAAATCTATCAGCAACCATTTGTAGCCCACAAGAGGAACTAAGAACCCCAGCCTCGGCGGCAATCTCTGTATTGTAGGTACAACTAGAATCCACGGGGTTTCCAGATGGTTCTGCTCTCGTTCACGATTGGAGACACAAGGACGAAAACATTTCCGCTCAGGGGGTCCCCATATCACGTGACCCGCCTTGGCAACGAGGTATTACCGAAGGGAAGAACGGAACGGTTTGGCATCGAAACAGGTGCTCTATAACGCGTGCACTACAGCGGTATGCGCGAGATAGAAACGCCTCCCCCGCCCCCCCGCCCCATCCACAGGTTGCAGTAGTACTTGTTGAACTTTTTCCCTTGAAGCGACGTGGTGGATACCCCGTAAATGACATATGCATATAGGCTGCCACAACAGTATGTAGTTCACGTGTAATTCTACAACAAGCAGGTGACGTCAACGCCCATCCGTGAGCATGCCGATATCAGCACTACTGGGCCACCGCCGGACATGTCTTCTTGGAATTACCTCACCACTAGCACTAGCACCATCACGACGGAGACCATTACTAACAACGCCCGGTAGTTCCTCCCCCTCTGTCGTCATCCCGGGCAAGGCCTGGTCTCCTTCCACAGGTAAAATACCGACGGTTCTTGCCTCTGGAGCTGCACAACCGTGGACACTACCACTGCTGTCAAGCCTGTCGGTCGGGCTTGTCTCCTCTTTGTTGCGATTCGTCTTCGTTGTCTCGCAAAGGTAAGCGACAAACTCTTCGCCGGACAGACGTGGGCGTGGCAGGTGCGAGAAAGATTTCGCACGTCGTCGCTTGGTCGCTATGCCTTTCAACCCTCGGTCTTTCGCGGTGGTACCCTGTGTGTTTTCGAGATACGTTTCGGGATATGGGGCGGCTGTTGTAAATGGTGCTAGAAGAGACGAGATGGATCTAGTGAACAGGCGACACCGTACTTGACGGTGTCGCTTCTTGGCAAAAGATTGACAATACACGCTGTCATGGAGAAGGCGATTGGGCAAAGAAAAAGTTGTCCACCGAGCCAGTGTAGTGTGCGGTGGGCAACTCGTGTTGTTTATGTCACCAAGCCGATGTGACCCTGTTCTCCTACGTATCGGCACAAGCATATTATACCCCCGTGTGACATCCTCCAAGCTGCCCTTTGGTCAATCGTGTCCATGGCTTGCGCAAGAGTTCTCACCCTCCGTTTTCGGGGAATGCGCACAACAGCACGTTTCCTGGGTCGGTTGTCGTCCTCGCGATCTTCGTCCTCACCAACCGGAATCGCTGGAGCCAGCACCGACTTCTTGCCAAGAGCAGCCAGCCTCGCGCTTGTTTCGGCCGCCGAAAGTGGCTTGGTAGAAGGTCCCGGAGTTGGTGTTGGAGGTCTTTCGCACCAGCCAAGCAACGAGCGAGCTATTTTCCACCTCGCTGCCTGACTAGCTGCTAGCTGGCTCCCTGTCTTGAAGGCCCGGCGCGTTACGACCCTGAGCGCGGCAAGAACAGAACATTGAGGAACTGAAAACGAGCGCATCCGTGGTTTGACGTACCAGGCTCACCACACAACAAGAACTCAAACATGTAGTTTGAACAGAAACACTTTCAATAATAACCACATGTACGTTGTCTCGACATGATGGTGAAGGTTAGCTAGCGCCTGAACCATGAACGTCCCAGCACAGGGGGCGAAACCAAGACGAAACACAACCGTTCTCCATCGCCTATAAACAAGAAACGGTTGCAAGAGGAAAACAGCCAATTCTGACCGTGTCCGGAAGCGACCTCTTGTGGGCAAACCCGCCGCCCATGAGACCGAGCCCTCCTCCAGAAATTTTCCGTCGTGCCTCATTCCCAGCAACTGGAGGGTCGGATCGCTACGTTCTAGCTCTGATTTGCCGACGGTTTCACAGAAAAAACAAAGAAGGAAAGGAGATAAGACTACGTACCATGCTTGGTCATCGCTGTTATCTTCATGTGCTTCAAAGCTAAAGGAGCAAGCTTAACTTATGCTATGTACCCTCAGGAAACCCACACTAAGGTACGCGATACATGTGATGATTTGATACGTGTACGTCAAACGAAGACAGGTTCAAAGGTCATTTCCAAGTTAGGCATGCATGTCGCCGCCATTGGGTTGGTCGGCAGCGTTGTCGCGTTAACGTCGAGCGTGCGTCCGCATTTGCCGAAGCAGAATAAGTATGGGTGTACCTCACCAAGCAGAAGAGTCGCGATTTGGCGATCCCCAAATGCCCTGAGGTCCAGTTTGTACTCCCCATCAGGCTGCGTGGGCATGAAGAGAGCAACAGGACCTAGTCGCGCTTCGCATCTCGATACCTCGCGATCCGTTAGCACCCCTAGGCATCTTTGGTGGTTCGTCACGGTACGAGTCAAAAGGGCTCGGTCAACAAGCAAGAGCGTTAACAGTTTCAGTTCGCAGGGTGTGTCGCTTTCGCTAGCATCCCGGGCTTATTAACGAGAATCGAGACTTGACGACGTTGGTTTCTTCTCGTGCTACGGCCGTTAAATTCTTGAAAAAACTATGGCTGTCATGATGGTGACCATAGAGGGTACTAAGAAGATCTTTGAACGGGTTGCTATGCCTTGGCACCGAAGACAATCACAAAAACGACGGCGTTCTAGTGTTCAGAGTGTGAACGACAATCTTCTGCCCTTGTTTGCACAACGATTGGTGAGTGTTTGGGGATCTACACGCCGTTCCTGCTTCGCATTCTTCACGCAGCGTGCTCGGGACACAGGAAAACGTCATGGCAAGCACGTTGGGTTGGGCCTGCCCGTATCATTGTTTTCAAAGAGCTGACAAAGACGTATCAAGTCTACACAACCATGTGACACGATGGCGCGAGTTAATAACTCTAACTCGCCAAGCGGCCATCCTCACCATGGAGACGGGACAATAATTGTCAAAGATTCTCGACGGGCACTCACAGGTCCAGGTTGCTTTCGTCTGTTATCCTGCAGACCACGGCGACGAAGACCTCCTCACGACACGAGCTCCCTGCTTCCTTTCCCGTCCCCGCTTCGTTGCCATTTTCCTTTGCTGGTTCGTGCTCGTCGTCTTCTCCCGGGAATACCCGCAGGAGGTCGACCACCTAAGCAAGAAGCAACGGGAAAATACGTGAACGGTACATACGAGATGTACGTTGTTTGAGGAATCTGTCGACGTAAAAGTGGGGGTGATCTACATCGGCCTTTTGGCTTGCCAGAGTCTGTAGGCGCCTATTTTCGCCGACTCGGCTCTTGTCTTGTTGCTTTCAACATGACACTACTGAGACGTGTGTTGATCACTGCAGCAGAGCATATGCTCGTTCAAAGTGTGACGACATAGACCTGAAATGCGGAGGGAGAGTGCCGCAATCTGCTTTCTTCGCACAAGCGTTGATGCACGACAACGACATGACGTTTATGTTTTTCACCTGGTTGCAATTGAAGTAGAACACATGGCACAGGTTTCGGAGGAAGTTTACGAACAACCGTCCCTTTTTCCTCTTCACGGCGCCGCCGTCATCATGCCCATCATCATTTGTATCTGCGTCGCCGCCGCCGCCATTACTGGAGTTTACATCAACAGCGCTGCCACCATTAACTTTGTCGTTGTCGTTGTCGTCTGCGCCATTGCCACCGTTCGCGTTGCCACACGACATCCAGTTTGATAAAAATTGTACCAGCTGGTCGAAACTCTCCTTGGGGGTCGACGTTGCGCCGGGGGATGGTCGGATGTAGTGCAAGAAGTCGAACGAAATTCGTGATGCTGTTGGCATCGTGGGGAAACGCTTGACGGACCCTCCAGGAGTCCCTGAGCCTCGTTCGGGAAAAAGCGCAGAGCAACAAAACAACAACAGCAACATCGTCATCGTCGTCATCGGGAACAGAGACAAACGAACCGTTTAATCTGGGGCGAGCGAAGGGCGGGTCGAGTTAGAATAATATAATTGACCTACATTATCTGCGGAGCAACGTGTGCACCAACGACCGATGCCCCGCGGCGAGTGTTGAGCACATGGAGATACCACACCCTATAAACAGATTCCGTCCTGCCCGATGTGCGTCGCAGTAGATACCATCACATGCCGACACGTCCGGTCAAGATCTCTTGGTCAGCATTCTCGACCGAGCCACACACCTGCTGGCTTGACACTCTCGCGTGGAAGTCTTTTCTCTGTTTGAGGGGCTGTCCCTTTTGCGCCTCGTGCATTATTGATGCCGCGGCTGCTTGTCTTAGCGTTCCCCGCCTTAGTCTTGCCCGCGGCTGCTTTGTTCGTCATTTTCTTAGCCTTGGCCGGCTCTTTCGCTTGTTTTGCCGCTTTCTTCTTGGTTTTCTTAGCCCCGCGTTTGTTCAGCTTGGTTCGCGCCCTTCTCGTGTCGGGCATCGCCATGGGGTGAGCAGAAACCCATCGGCATTTGGAGTTCAGACGGATTTCAAGATACGGATCAGAAAGAGGTGATGTTTTGCACCTGCGGCAGTCGTTTTGCACACCCTCACACCCAGAGCTTCAGTGCTGTGTTGTTGTCGTAGCACAATCTCACGGCGGCTGTAATCGCCATAGAGATAGAGATCTGGCATCGTTCCTACACATACAAGGAGTTGTACCCACCCAACCTGGAGACACCGGGCAGATACATTACCGGTTTGGGGGATAAACGACGAAAAAATCAATGCGCGTCCCACCTGCGGGAGAGAAGACCAAATTTGACCGGCCTCCCGCCGCCCAGCCTGAAGTTGCGCAGGTGGTGGCTATTGCCGTGCTGTGACGGGTCCAGAAGTCCTTTCATTCCCACGTGCGCACGGTTGACCTGGATGTAGGGGGTAGTGGTGTGGAGTGGGTTCGGCATGACATTGTGCCGCCGCGGGAATCGGGGTAAGACGTGGTGGATATTGCACAATTGGTGGTTCACGTCTTACCGTATTGCTTGGCTACGCATCAGTACCGTGTTCTCGTTGGTGCATGCAACAACCCGCGGCCAACGCGAAGTGGGCAATTCGGACACGCGATGGCGACAATGCTGAAGGCGACACTGCCGAAGGATAAGCGAGGCGACACATACACACGCTTGCTGTTTGGCGAGCGAGCCCACTACGCATACCGTGATAGTCTAAGTAGAGAAAGTAAGCTTCCACGTTCTCTGGCTTCAAGCGCCAAGCATTCATACACCGATGTGCTTGGCACGACGCGTGGGTTCGAGAAGGGTTTAGAAAAGCATGTTCTGGCAAAACCTGAAAGTAAGATGGGAACGCCCTATTAAACTCAACGCGGCCAAAATCCCATGGAGATCATGTGCGTTGAAAACGCGGATACATCTTCTGCTGACCTTATCTAGACCGAGAAGGGCGCGGAACACCTCCCTGTCACTAGGCAGGGTCATGTCCAAATTGTAATGACCCTGCGGGGCGAACGGGTTGAAGTAAGCGGAGGAGCCCTCGACCACGCTACCGAGCCGCTCTTCTTCCAACGGTGTCAGGCGGCCCTCGAGACCAAACCTGAAGGGAGACAAGTATAAGTGTTCCGGACAACAGATACAGGCAACGACGAGACTCAACCGTGGCGTTCGAACCGTTCGGAGGGTAAGACAAACGCAATGACCCAAGTGGGATCTGGGGTTTGCAGTGGGGTTGTCCCCAAGTTATTGACGAACAGTGATGACAGCGACGGCAATCGACGTTGGTCCTATCTTCTTGCGCCGGGAGGTGTTCCCAATGGCCCGTCCTGATTCAGTATGTCCCTCTTCCTCCCTACTGCGAGCGGCAAGAGAACAAATACCGTTGTCTGTCGGTGTTGACAACTCAAGCAAGGCTGACAACACAAGTACAGATTGTTACAACACAAGGACTCAACAAGACCTTCGGAGAAATTAGAAAGCAAGAGCAACAACAGTGGCACACATTTTGGGGGGGTGTCAAACCTTCGAAACGTCGACGCCGAGCACCCCGCGAGAACACCAACGAAGTCACTACCCAAACCATCCAAGAAGGGGCCTCCCTTCCAGCCGTCGTCCAAGATCTTGGCCCGCCGCGCAGCTTCCTCAGCCTCTGCTTGTTCCTTTCTCTCTTCGTCCATCCTCGCCATGGCGGCATCTCTTTCCCATCGCATAAGCGGCGGTCCCCCGGTGTCTTCCCTCTGCGTCGCCGCCGCGGCTGCTCTCGCTCGAGCGGCTGCACCAGCGGTGACCCTTTTCGGGGCACCTGCGGAAAAATCTGGCGGCGGGATGCCCTGGAGACGCTTCACGCGCTGAGAGAGATGCTGTCCTAGGGCCTTGAGGGTGTTGTGTCGGATGTTGGGCAGGAGGGCTAGGAACACTCTGCATCGGGGTTCCGACATTCTCGGCTACGGATTAAGTTGGGCGGCGGGGGAAGGAGTGGAGCGGTGGACGGGCGAGGGCGGGGGGGGGAGTGAAAAATTTGGGGCATGGGTCCGGAAGACACAATTCTCCCATACACCAGGTGTGGTCCAAACGACTAACTGCAGCCTGCGCGCCGAGAAACGCCTTGCTATTGACGTATCACAAAGACACCACATCAGAATCTTGAAAGTACAGTAATCTGCACAGCGAGAACATCATTACAGCACATGGGTCCTTCGGTGCTCAGGACTTGATGGTCCTCTTTGAAAGGCAACGGAACCGTACCATTAGTCTTCAGGACAATTTCACTATTATAGCACGAAATATAAAGGTTCACAAACCTCATCCGAGAAAGCGTCCAAGAGCGAATACAGCTGGTTGTCGGATAACCATGTCCGTCTTGACAGGCACTCCACCATTTCACACATCTAGTATTGGTACATTGGCAAAGGAGGGGGGTAGAGGAGGGGGGTAGAGAAAACATTAGATGCATCACAAGCGGTAGCGTTGCGCTAATTGACGTCTCCGTGGTCGGCGATGAGGCATTCCTGTGCGGTCGTCTTCCTCCCTGCATATTGTATTTGAGATTCGGTGCAACGAATGCGCATCCTCTCTTTGTCCTTGACAAAATGCGCACATTTCTCTATAATCCGAGTAAACAGTTGCCTGCACACCAGGCGATCAGCCAAACCAACGGGGTACCTGCGCAATAAAATCTTTGACCTACTGGATTTTGTAAGCTGGAAGTCTCCGCGAGGCAGTGCGGGCGAGCCGCAACACGACACGTTTATTGTAGTGGTATTCCTTTTCTCGATATTGATGCTTTCGGTTTAGAAAAGGCGGTGCCTGTAAACACCCACCTGTATCGGTGACCCGAGAGACCTGAGCATGTAAATCACCGACTCAAATGCCCGATCAGCAGCCCTGCAGAGCGTTATCGTTGTTGTCTTGGTTTCTATTGCCGTTGCGGGCATTCCTTGTGTCCTTCGCTCCTCGTCACCCAAGCCAGTGCCACCGCCAGCGCTGTTCGTACAACGTCCTCTACCTCCCTCAGTAGCCACTGGTCGGGAATCCTCTATCCCTTGCGCTACTAACCCTCCCCCCGTGCTGTATCGTCCGTCTGAACCGCTGCCTGGTAGTAGCAACACTTTGTTGGCGGCCGAACCACGACGTTGCTGTTCGAAGGTGTTGGTGGTCTTGACCGGTCCAGGTGCCATGACAAGGAGGGAGCGCTTGGCGGACAGGAGTGTTCCCGCCTTGTAGGCAAGCTTGATCGTTCCTTCCGCCGGCAGCTACGGAATAGTGGTCGTTCGTTTGTGGGAATTCGGCGAGGGACAAAGGTTGGGGGGGGGGTGAGCATAATCTGTAATCTATAATCGAACAAATCAAAACTCAGAGAGCACGTTGACTTTTCTGTCGATGCTGTGTCGTGAACACATCAACCTTGTCTGCACTGTATCGTACGGTTCCAGGTGATTTTCAGTCCACACCATAACGTTTACAGAGATACTTGTTTGCGTTGTGTTTGGTGAATCATGGCAATGTCAGGCGGAAACTCCTGTCCAATTATTCCTCTCTGCTGGAAAATATATGTACCATATGTGTCTTCCCCGAGCCTGGTTTCAAAGAATGTGTTTATCGATAGCGAGGAAACATAGGATTGGTTACGAGCATTCCAGCAAGGCCTTTCCACGACGCCCGCACGTTTCCCGTTGCAGAAGTATTCGGCGGCAAACGCCGGCCCACCCGGATAGCATTTAACTTGCCTGAGCCAAGAGCTTGTTAACCTCTTCCCGCACAGTAAGCCCTTGGACTGGAGGAACATCGCCTTCCCACCCCCTTTCCTTCCGTTCAGTCCACTCGTTCAACCTGTCCATGAACGAAAGTAGTTGACGCCGTCGATTACAGTCGAACGAAGACCTGCACGCATACTTCGTCTCATTCGCTGAGATGTTGTTTCTTTCTACCACCGGCATGATGATGCTTAGGCGTGACCCTAGGACGTTTTCGCGTTCATAGCAGTGTACTCACGAAATGTTTGCTTTTCACCGCAGAATTGCACATTGTCCTCTCCCGAGAGGGATTCGAACCCACTGCTGATAAAGAGTAGGTTGTACGGGGACCCACTAGACCACCGGATGCTCACATCCACTGGTTGAAAAATAGCAAAACGGAGCCAAGAATAGCAGTTTGAAAAATATCACTGTTCCACAAGGGAAGCAAGGAGATGGTTACACCCGCACCATTTAGCTAGCGGATGGTCGGCCTCCCTTTGGCGGGCCGTCCCCCCTCCGGCCTTTCCCTTGCCCCTCCCCTTGGATACCGCGACGTTGCTGATGGCCTTTCCTCTGCCAACTGCTGGCCCCCTCCCATCTCCGACTACCCCGGACTGATTCAGCAGATGCACAAGTAGGTTGGTTGCACAACAGCAGCGGAAGAGGCAAGAGGTTTATCCAACAAACAGATGCTCGGCATGGGTACAACGTCCAGGTAACGATCAACGCGATTTCTGCGATGGTGTTTTTCTACCATATTCCCACAGTTCGATTGCAAAGGGCAGCTAGGTCGGAACCGTTGCTTTCGAGGTAGTATCTTGTTATCCCTTGTTATTCTGGCGAATCGTAAGACCGCATGGGAATGGTCAATTGGTGAGGCATGCAGCTAAAAGCAATGCGCACGGGCAAACGTCCTCAAATGTGCTGCAAACCTTGCAGAAGTTGGCCGGGGTTTTCCTGTCTAATAATAAACGGCTGGCAGCAATTTGGAATATTCAATAACGGATCCGGTGATGTTGTTGTGTGAAATAAAAAGCGCTCAGAAAGAACACAGAGGATATTGTGTAGGGACAAGAGCTCGAAGTAGTCTCCAAGGTTCACTACCCCCAAAAGGACAACAACTAAACGAGTTGTGTCAACCGTAAGCACACCTTGCGTCCTCGACGTGACGATAGACCGTTCCCTGTCGCATCTCCAGGGGCCGGTTGTAGTTTTTCTCGGCGCCTAAACGTCACTTGTCGCGGTGCTCCACCCGGTACTCGGAGTATGCCCGCCAAGCTACCCCCACTGGAGAAGTTGAATGTCCTCAGGACCTTTTTCCCAAGTATTGTCACCATAAAGTTTACACAGGGTTATGGTTCAGTGATGTTAGTACCAATCCCCCTGAAGAGAACTACAAGAAAATCTTCCCTCGTGCAGTTGGTATGCATCTTAAGAGGAGTTTGCAATTGTTCAGGAATTGTAGGACTGCAACAACATATATCTGCAACTGTATTATTCGACCGACCCTGAAAGAAGAAAAATGTTGTTCAGGCCGCCGATGTTACCGTTGCCGCCGTTGTCGTCGTCGTCGTTGTCATTGTCGTTGTGCTGGTGATTGTTGTTGTGGCCGTCGTTTTAATTCGGCTTACCTCTCTCCCGACTGCCCTGTCGAACGGCCTGTTCAGCCGCAAATCCCATTTTCTGTCAACGGTGAGATCCAGCCAGTAGAGATGTTCATCGGGCCGTGTGGGTGGTGGAAGGGGTGGCGGGACGTTCTTGGGAGGTTGAGGGGCACCTTTGCTGGCGCCGGTGCTGTCTAGTTCAGCCCCTGATTTCTTCCCGCCGGTCCTCTGTCGTGGTGGCAAGGCGTCAAGACAAAACAATACGTGACAGAGGAAAATAATCAGTGGTTCGGTAGACCGCACTTATTTACCGATGCATTACTTGTTCTGTCCAAGCGTCCTATGAAGATTTTGCCTTTGGTCATAAATAGTTTGCACGTCTCCGACTCGTTTTCATGCCATGCCTGCCTCATCTGGTCATATTGTGTGTTCTGAAACTCCTAGGGGAGGTTTTGCAACGCCGAGTCTACAGCAGCTTGCGTCAGCCCTGTGTGTGTCAATACCTACCATTCTGGTTTAACCATCCAGACCGCTTGTTTCTCCACCGAAAACAAGCATCAGCAGCTTTTTATTGAGCCTGGAGACGTACTTGCTCCAGTTTTCTTGAACACGCAAAGTTCTTCGTGAAAAAACTTCAATTCAGATCTATTGGTCAACATCGTTGCATTGCATGCGGGCATGCATGTCTACGCCGAACCACCTCACCGAAGAGCTTTGGTCGCGTTTCTCCTTCTCTCTAAGCTTTTTTCTGGCCCGTCTGCCGAAGGGACACATAGAAACGGAACCGACAGTTTAGGAGGCAAAGAAGCAGTTCACAGCACCAACAGTGAGCTTTGGTTCACACAAAGCCAACAGTCAGGATGTCATCGGTCATCGAGTACGTCTGCCCGTCTAACCCAAGGCTTCCAAGCGAGACAGGAATCTGCTACCAAACCAGAGCACCGGTGCTGACGAATGCAGTATGGTACCGGGGGCCGTCTGATACGAGCACGGATCCCCAGTAGAGGTTCTACTCTAGGCTCGCCCCAGACCACGGCCTACAGGCTCTACGTGCGCTCGCAACAGGCCTTTCGGCTCCAGGCGTACGCATGTCCACCCCCTTGCGTACGACATCAAGCAACTGGAAGGCCCACGTTGACTTCACGGACACCCATTGGCGAGAAAAGGGTCTACCGCAGCTTTTTATGTTAGTTCGTTGGAGACCAAGAGCGCCTCGTAAGGCTTCCTTGCTGTAGGAACCAGGACGAACCCCTTGGTTGCGACAAGCAGAGGACTGCAGCACCTCCATTAGAGTCGTGGGAACGTCCTTGATTGAGCGCCTCTAGAAAAGTCGGAGTTCGGGGGGGGGGGGTCAATAAACAACGGCACACCCTCGCACCCGCTCCCAACGTACGACAGTAGTCAGTAGTTCGAGGTCACCCATAGGTACTTACATCGCTGCATTTCGTGCCCTGACCAAGGCAAGGCGCGCGGCTCTCGCAGCCCCCTTTCTGGCCTTCATTCCACTCCAGACGTCGGTCTTGTCGGAGAAACAAGTGCAACCCTGCGGGGTAAAGGAAAGATAATGGCGATGCTAGAGCGCTGACGCTCGGTTCAACTCATCACATTAATATTTCTGGCCTCTGTTCTACTAGACTGTGGCCAACTGTGAAACGTCTAAGACCAGCCCGACTCCCCTAGATCCATATTCTGCATGGTTAAGAAACAAGTGTCTTTACAGAAGTCCCAAGTTAAACCCCACGTAGAACCATCGTCTGATATTGGTGGGGGGGGGTAGGGCAAAGAAACTTCAAGGGAGAAAAACACCGACAAGGAACAAGAGTCCATCGCTCCACTTTGGAAGCGAAGCACTTCAAACAAGAGTAAGCCTGAAGAAGCTGCGAATCGGAGAGATGTTGCTACTACCATATCGAAGGAATTCTGAACATTATCAGAGAAATGCTCAGCTAGGTCTAGGTGACCGTTTTCTATCAGAGCTTTGTGCTTATGTGCCATCAACGAACCTCTCCGTATTTTCGTTTCCGTTTTCTCTATGGGAGCGGCGTTTTTTCGCAACTACGGTGATGGCGGCCCCGAATGGCAAGCTCGTCTCGAACAGAAAACACAATGATTTGCTCTCCGAAGTGTTCACCCCCAAGCATGCTGTAACTCTATTACCTTGATATCAACTAGACATGGGTCGCCAGGTTTTTCGGCAAGGGCGATCGACATCTGCAATCCCGCCGCTGTGCCAATTGGGTTGTCCCTGAGCACCAGATTCCGCAGATTGGTGTTTGCAACCACAGCCTCTGACAGCGCGATTGCACCCTCCCATCGAACCTGGCCGAAACCACGTGAAACAAATGCAAATGAAAACCACGTGAATGCAGACGTTATTATCTCATCTCTTGCATGTCTCAAAGATTGTGTTGTCCTGTAGCTTACAGTAAGAGTCAACCGAAACATCGGCTCCGCTTTAGGGTCATTTAGGAAGGCTATCTCTCCAGTTCACGATTTCAAGTGCACTTTCGACGGCGAAAGTTACAGAAACACATTGATGGACCTATCAGAGGCGTCACTTCATACTTGTTTGAGAGGTTGGTTGAGAAACCGGCGGAAGATGTTCTACGAGGGCCGCGGGGGGGGGGCTGAACATGAGCAAAGGCGATGTTACAATTTTCTGTCACCGGCTTATCCGTTGTTCCTTTCCACGATAACTAACCCATCAGCAATTGTGAAAGGAACGAAAGGCACAAACCTCAAGGACAATGTAACCCCATTTAGGGGTTGAGGCTCGACGAGCGAAAGCAGCCGCGGAGCGCGAGGAACGAACCAAACGATGATCACATTTTATATGGTTTTTTGCTCTCGCACTATCACACTTACACCTTCCACCAAGCTTCCGCCCTGCGTAGAATCAGCTAGCCTCACATGGTTTGCCGTGAGATTGAGATTGGTGAGGGTCTTGTTGTTCTGCAAGGCCTCTGCGAGTGCATGCACGCCTTCCCCACTGTTGTTAAACTCCAAGTTCATCTGGGAAGCACCAGCATCAGCAGGGTCAGCAACAGCAGCGGCAGCAGCAACAACTACATGAGGCAGATGATACGTGTACGTTTCGTGGCCTAGTTGTGGACCTACCTAGGCCGTGGTTAATAAGAAAATTGTGTAAGGCGCGCGTTTTCTTGGTCTGTCCTAGGGACTATACCAGCACATCAGTTGCAATCCGATCAGAAACGTCTATGTGAATGTTCTAGAGGCCGAAAGACAGAACGGTGGGCAACCATCCAATCGAGGGCGTGCTTGGCCATGAAACGGCGGTGTGGATTACGAGTCGCCGTACCCTCTCCAAAACTCGGCCCCCTTTGAAGAACACAGGTACCTTGGTGACGGACTTGTTCCACGCCAGAGCATCCGACACCTCCTCGATTGCTTGCTGGTTCAGGTGGTTCCAACCCAGGTCGAGGCTGAGGAGCGAAAGCCCACCGGTGAGGAGAGGACCGGCGCACTCCTTCCGTCCATCACATCCAAACGAGAGTGGAAAGAAGAGGCGGATCTGTCTCTTGCTTGTGTGGTTATTTTGGCTCTCCGATACCAATGTGTTCTAAGTGGTATTCGTGTGCGTAGTCGTTTGGTCCTCAGGTAGAGCACCGTAATCCTACCGTTTCGAGGAGCGAGCACGTTGTCAAGTTGCGCTTGCATGTGAGCCGCTTCTTGCGGTCATCAGTGGTTTGGGTCGTTTCTAGTAAGAGGTTGACCCTTTAGGGGGGAGTTCAATCGGAAGTTACCTACGCTTCTGAGTCAAATGCTTGCAGGTTGCCTTAAACGATGGTATTCAGTATGCATTTGAACAACGGCAGCAACCTGTGGTCTACAAACACTGAGACGCCAATTGCTGCTATTCGATTTTTCGTGCTACCAACTTGTTGGGGGTGCTTTGAACAATGGGTTTTCACGTGAGATTTTTGCACACCGTGCAATCGTTTTCAGCTATTGTTTTCAGCGAAAGCCGGGCTCAGCACCAATGCGTATCACTCTGTACCTGCATTACTTTGAGTGTGAGTCCGTTGTCCGAGAGACCGAGGTGAGTTACGGGCGGCTGGTACCTCGCAAGGGCTTTCAACACCGTTATGACTGCGTGGTCGCCGGCCTTGTTTCCGTCTAGCTTCAGAGAGCGCAGAGCGCATCCTGCTCGACAATCGAAGAACGAGACATGATTCGAGTTGAAACTTGCGAAGCGGTAGTTGAATGTGGTGGTATGTCCCAATTGTCTCGAACAGCAACACCCACCGACGCGGGCTCAAAGCAGATTCATGGCCGTAAGTTGTGATCGTTATCAAACGATAACAGAGCCTCGTTAACAGGAACAGTCGATGCTGAACCAGCTACCTGTCTACCGTTGTAAGAAGGCGAGGTACGGCATACTACGAACGTCCTGGGGTCAAGGACGGGAAAAAGCCGCAGTTCAGCGTCTTGTATGGGTTGATTCTGTACCGATAAACTCCATTTGGAACCTACACAGGCAGAGGGTCAGAGAAGAATGTCTTGCGCTATTTTTCCCGCTCTCCTGGAGTATACATATCTGAGCCTCCATATCTGCTGTACTGATGTACCACAGCTGTCGCTCATGAAGAGTGTCAAGGTGAAGAACACGCGAGCTAACCAAACAAAGCTCACGCTTGTGAGCGATGAGACGAGATAGTCCGCTGGCCCCTTGTAGTCCAATGCGGTTCCCGCTGAGGTCGAGCTTGATGATAGTCCCCGCTCTTTCCAAGAGTACGCCGAGAAGAGTCTCAGAGGCCGGCCCATCAAGGCCAGAGTCTACTAGCTCCACCTTCTCGCACCCGACACGACAAGAGCAGAGGTACACCGAACCAACGGCCGAGATCGAGGAGTATCGACGGAACTCTTGGTTCATAGAAGTCGATACCACGGGACGCGATGCTCCCTACGCGTACGCACATGTGGACGATACACCTATTTCGTGTTTCGCCGTGCTGCTAAGCTAGTCTAGGCAGACGACTAGTTGCTACAGACTGAATAGACTTGCCGATGGCGTCGACCCTTCCGACATTGTTTTCAGATCTTGGTTTCACCTCTCTGAGAGTAACCGGAACCGATGTGATGGCGCTCCGCAGACATTTTGCTCTGGCTTCTCCGAGGTAATAATGTCGAAGCCTGATGCAGCCCTCACGTTGGCCTTCTTGGTGTCGTCCTCCTCTCCCTGACGTCATGGCCACGAGAAGCAGAGATAGAAATGGTGAGTGGTGTACCGATAACATGGAGGCAAGAAGGAGGGTGGGGGGGCAACGGTGTTAATTTAGCTCACCCCGTTGATCGGAAAGGCGATGTCGGTACATTCGGAAAGGGTGACCTCCGCTGACAAGACAATCGGGTCAACGAAAAACGGGAATTTGTGCGGGCGGTAACGATCAAGCAAGCCTCTCGATCTGACTCTGAACACATGCGGCGGGCATACCTCCGATGTTTGTTTCTTCGGCCTCCCCTGGTTTTCCACGAGCCGTGTGAACCTCTCCGGCGTCGCCCGTCATGGGGTCTGCCATTGCCGGTTGCGGATCGATTCTGAGGGCTCTGTTGATCACGGGGACCGGCAGCAGCTGTCGCTCGGCACAGCGCATGAGATAGTCGCGGCGGGGGCTCGCTGGTCGCTTCATCATCCTGCAAGAATACGAAACACCGATGAAACCTTGTCGGAAAGGCATTTGCAAACTTGACTCTTCCTAGGTCACAAGCCAGACAGCGTGCTACGTCAGCTATGCCTTGGAGATGTAGTATGTTGTTCTGAAGAGGTGTTCTATTCTTGAGTAGTCGGGTGCCAGTTGACTGGTCAACCTGAAGGTAACCCACCATTTAGAGAGGTTTGAAAAGACTCAGCGTCTGCAGGAAACTTTCCGACGCAACATGGAATCATCGACACCGAGCGTGCTTTTGTTGTGTCATAGCCACAGGTTCCACACAGATCACACACCTGTGAGCGATCATGACGGGGTCGTGAGGGTCGTCGAGAAAAGGCATTTTGTATCTCGTAGCTTCAACATCTCGACCATCAGCCGTTTGCGGTCGCCTCGGTGTAGGCTGTTTAGGTGTGTTCCTTTTCTCAATCACACCTCCACCTTGCAGACCCCCGGCTAAGCGGGTTCTGGTCGGAGATCCAGTAGGAGAACGCCGTGTGCTTGACGGACGAATCCCCCCTCCCTGTGCGTTTCCTGAGGGTTCATTGCGCGTGCCAGGGGAAGAATGGGGCCGATCGCGAGCCGCCGCTGCTGTTGTAGAAGCTGTGGTCGGGGGGGGCGGGGCAACCTGTTTGTCCTGAGTCTCGCTCGTGACAGCGTTCTCCGTGGGTGTCGATAGGCGAACTTGTCGGGCCCTCGGGCTTGGGTCTTGTGCGTTCGACTTCCCCGACTTTTGAACCTCGCCATCAGCTGTAGTAGCATTTGCAGAGGTTACTGCCACCGAGGCTGTGGTTGCGGAGTTAGGCCTAACCGGTGAGGCAGGTCGGGGAGTAGGCCTACGACGAAAGGCAGCTGTTTCCGAAGGTGGGACAATAGAGGGTGACGATGCCGAAATTTCGTGCAGCTCGACTGGTCTCTGGGGAAGATATTTGATGTTGGGCTCGCCGTCGACGAAGTTGGATCCGATTCCCTGTGGGGCGTACAACAGTAACGTGAGGCGGCTACCTGTGAGGGTGGTGGAGGTAAGGTATTAACCATACATTGCGCAATGCTCTCTTGACGAAACCTTCACGAGGTGGAACGCGTATTCGCGGTTCTTGGTAGCTAACGCACGGAGGTGAAAATGAGACAAAACCCCCAGCCAATACTCATCGGTCACACCAAGAGCTGCTCCAATAACCCCAACCTCGCCACCGTAGAATACTCACGTGCCTGCCGATAACCTCAAGGGAAGGGCGACAGAACTGAGGCGTGGCGTCACACTTGAAAAGGCCAAAGAACGCCTCTCGTCCGGTTCCGTGCACGTCTTCTAGCCAGCTGTCGGCTCCTTCCGTAGGGTCTTCCAATATGCCACTAGCAGCCTCTTCTGAGTCGTCTTCGTACAACGACTGATCTTCTTCGCTGGAGACGGAAGACCCCGACGAGCTACAAACACTGTCTGCAGCCGATGTCGAGCAGCTTCTATTTCCAGACACACCTCCCTCTCCCGTTCGTTGGTTGATAGTAGCGGCATCGCCTAGATCGGACTTTCGAGAGTAGAGTGGAGCATCCACCTGAGATAGCCCCAACAGCATTTCGTCTGCCGCAACGGTGTCCCGGCGGTCATCGTCGGTAAGATATTGAGACAAGCGCTGTGAACTACTGTCCACTTGGAAGCGTTGTTGTTTCTGCTGCTGTTGAAGTTCCTGCTCATGCCCCAGGTCCTCCCCCGTCGTAGCGGCGGTATTTGAGCCCATCACCCCCAAGTCCAAATCTTCACCTCTTGTTTCTTGGTCCTTTGGTAGAAGCGATGCATTGTCAGGTACAACATCCACCGCCGAGGTGTTTCTCTGTGCAGAAGTCACCGGGCAGTCGTCGTCGTCTTCATCGCGAGCTTTTTTCTGAGAGTGCGCCTGAGAGTCGTGAAATGGTGCATGTGGGTAGCCTCCATCACAGCTTTCACCTGCAGTGACTTGGACAGCACGACATGCGTAAGACGTATAAATCAGGTAGGTAGGCTCCGAGACCGTCACTACTGTAACTCTCTGTTGGCAATGTTTACAGGTAAGGATTATGCAACTGTTGTGGCGCAGGCAATGCTGCGATACAGCGGTGCCATACCCACGTTTCCTCGAGGGAGGCCAGACACTGAATGCGCACACGATTGGTATACCTTCGGCAGCAGATGATGGTATTGGTCCCGGCAGGTTGCTCTTTCCTCTCGTACGGGCCGTAGCGCTGACCAGTTCGTTGTAGAGGTCTTTAGCGGAAATTTTCTTCCCCTTTTCGGCAAGTGCGGCCTCCTCCTGCTCTGCTTCCACGTCCCACCCCGAGGGGGGTCGCTTCCCAGATAGCCCTGCGGCACGCCCTCTACGCGTCCACGTCTTTGCTCGCGGGAAAGCTTTCTTTCCGTAGGGGTTTCCACGAGCCCAGGAGGGGGCCACAGCACGGCCAAAGCTATCCACGCGAGGCGTACGGCGACCTGCAGTCGGTGGGCGAAATCAGGCTCACTGAGAGGTACTTCGAAGTACATCATGACAATATTTGTATGTGTGTTGCAGGGCCCTTCCGACAGGTAAGGCTCAACTCTGTACAGGCATTCGTGATGGTATGTAACATTTTCCGGCACATAGTACTGTAGGTTGCACAAGATACCACACACCCTGGTCTGGGCACATTTTCGAAGAAAGGTCGATTACTCCACGACGAAGAGGACCCCAAAATCAAATGATTATTATACGAAAAGCCGTCGATGACGGTTCAAACGCCGTGATTGCCGAGGCGTTTACTTATGTTGTAGCTGAAAAACGAGCTTTGAAAATCGGCCAGGGGGCGTGGTATCTTACGCAATCTTCGATACAGCAGACAAAAATTAGCGCGGAATACTCTGTACATAGAAGTCCTTATAGATGTTGATGAGCGTCTCGACCATTGGTGCTTCAAAACGAAAAACCACCCATGCCACGGAAACAACTTATTGTGGGAAGCTTTCCTCAGGGTACCACGGCATGCACCTATTGCTGGCGAGCTCTGCGGACGGCGTGGCACTGCTGTGCACGATGATGCCACCGCAGAGATCCACCTTGAAGCGATCGCGGAACGGATTCGATCGGCGCTTTCCTTCGGGCAGCCTTCATTCGCTGTTACCGGGCGTTCTCGCCTCGCTCCACGTAGCTTTTGAACAACATCTTCTAGATCCATGGGTTGTTGCGTTGAGCGGAAGCTCTGTCATTCGAGTGGAGCAAACATACGCATGTACGCAGAGGACTTACGAGGCCAGAGCCTGGAGGCGAGATGTGCGGCGTAACAACTAACGATTGGTAAGAGATGATATCTTCCGTGAAATTGGTTGTCTCCAAATACGTCGCCTTCGATGTGTACAACCCAATCTTGAGCGTTGACGCCGCGATGCCACGCCATGATGAGCAACGGGCGATCCTCTCCTCTCTCCCGCTGGAGGTATGTGTTCAACAGTAGTTCACGGGTAGACTGGCCGCCTAGAGTAGCATGGATACTGCAGGACAAATCCGTTTCATCATCCACGCATCTATGGGGCGAATATCACCAGCGGCGTGCGGGCCAGCACGAGCACGTTCTTTAGATCTGTCTGTGCCTACCATTGCTGTTCACTACCCGCACTTGCCAGACCGATTTATTTTGCTGCTACAAGTACACGTTCTTGGCGGAGATTCCCCGTGATCTTTCGGCGAAGTCTACAGAGTAGACTGGTCAATCAGGGAACCCTTTTCTCTTGTGTACAAACGATCGTCGAGCAGAACCCCATAACGAGCATCGATTAGTCTATAGGAGTACAAGTCTGCTGTAGAACTCAGTGTTTAGCGCGCACCCGGCGGTGGGACTCGACATTGGCACTTCCGCTAATCTCAGAATATCAGTCGGACTACATACTGTAAAGTAATTTTGTAAGTACCAGCAGCGAACTCATTGCGATGTGGGAATTACATAGGTTTTGGGCGAATTTTCTGTTGCCTCTGTTGTACCGAGACGAGATGCAGCAGTAGCAACCGTACCCGAACTTCGTGTGTGTCCTAGAGCGTGCGAATGTTCGAATACCAAAAAGAGAAAAAACGATGTTGAAGGATGCTTCAAGCTTTCGTAGACTTCACGAAAAGTACATAATAATGCATGGCGTGTCGTCCAACAGGTTCTTCTGTACTTCAACCAATGGTTTAGCTCGTGCTTTTTCGCCCTGACGGTCTCCACTTACGCCTACAAGGGGTGGAGATATTACTACCCGAGTTGGGCTTTGGAACTAGAAGTCAGGTGATGTGACTGCACAATGCTACCGAATCGAAAAGGTCATGTACACCATGCGGTGTTCTTCGCTGGGCGGGCTTTGTGGCAAACTTTCGACCATATGGTAACGCGCGAAAGCGGCGCAGACAAAGTTAACCCACGGCCAACAAAAGCATGTCGTTGTGTAGTTCCGGCGGGCTGCACAGCGGCACTGGAGGTTTGGTGAAAGCAGGTGGGGTCTACTATAGGACGGAAAGCGCTCTCAGTATACGATGCGTGTTTGGCTTGCTTAACTGGGTAACTCGAGAAACCGCGGTCACACATCCAGGGTGAGATGGGGCGGGCCTGGTCGGGGGTAGAAAGTTTACCATGAACACACACCGGCTTTTTGATGTTGTTCCGTTCTCCGTGTACTCATATTTTGGAGGAGGGGGGCGTTCGCTGCAGTGTTCAAGTCCAAGCAAAGTGATAGGCGCTACAGTAGTGCCGCAAAGGCTGCGTGCCCTACCTTAGCATTGAGTCTTTTTGTGAGTGGCAAGGTGTGCCGGCTCTTTGCAGTCTTTCGTGTGCTGTGTTTGGGCCATACCTGCCTGTGACCGGCCATGAAAAAGGGATGTTGTACAGCAGTGTACGGGCGAGATACTAAGCTTGGACAGGCAGTCCAGGAGTGTTCCGAACGCCAAGAAAATATCGTCTTCAAACATCAACGGTACCTTCAACCCAACAGGTTCTGAGTCCCATAATTTCCGTCTTTTCGTTGCGCAAGTCAGGGATGACACAATGGTAGACGCCACTCGGCGGGTTGACATTAAGTATACCCAATGAAGGCCAACACGCACCGTTTCACCGGTGGAGTTAATCGCCGACTTAAGACCATTCAACGGCAATCAGAGTTGATGACAATGGCCACAGCGTGGATGGTTCCTAATAGTGTAGGCTTCGCAGTGCTGACGGCTCTCGAGCGACGAAACTAACACTCAATACTGTTCGATAATCCCTCTGTACTTTGTCGCACCAACTTGGTCTCTCCACGCGACTGGCATCGTGGCAGTTTGACGATCCTTTACGGAGTGGTCGAGATGATGCGTCTGTTTCTTGCGTCAAAGGGAAACAAGGCAGAACAAATAAACCCTCTCGCCATGTGAGTTCTGCACGCTGCGTTTTCGTAGCTATTTTGAAAAGGGGCCTTGTTGCGCCGGATGCTATTGGGTAGAAAATATCGTTTCCACTCGTTGCTGCCTCGATGCTTCCACGTGCAACGCTTATAGGTCGCGTCCTCAGTCCAGCAAAAAAAAATAGTCAAGACTCGGGGCGCCTCCGTCAAAAATATCGTTGGTAAATTGGTAAACTTGTTGTGGAATAGTCGATGAATGCACCTTTGCTGCTTGACCTTTCCCCTAGACGGAAGCACACTACTAGCGAGCGGGCTGTTCATGAGATGCCGCCGGCTATGAGGCTAGCATGGGGGTTGGGAAAATACAGATTCCAGGAAATGATCAACGGTAACATGGACCCTACAACCCACGGCCGCTCCGTTCCTGTCTGCTACTCTTCTTGTGTCGTCAACCCAACCCGAACCGACAGGTCTCTTGGCCTAGCGGTGCCCGTCATACTGCTCTACGCCTTCAGCCTGGCTTTGCAGACATACGTGTTGCGGCTCGATGTGATCATGGCCGTGATCGGGCTGGTGTTTGTCGGGTTGGAAGGCCTACTAAGCGTTGGGACGGCGGTTTCCTTCTATCACGCCTTCCGAGGCTGACGACTAGACTACGATAGCCTGGTAGATCGACGATCACGAGAAGTCTGGCTGGTCTAGTAGAGGTCGACACTCCTCCCTTTCAAACCTGCGACAATTCCCCCAGAGGCTCACGACAGTTTCTTGTCCGGTACCGATGGTGCCACCACTTCTGAACCTCATACTTTTCTCGGGGCTCCCTTCCTTGTTGCATGTATGTGTGGAGAGAAGCTAACAACTGTAGACTAGTTGCTTGATTTGTTTTTGCGGGAGGTGGCAGTCGTTTTCGTGCATGTTTTGAATGAGCTCGACTGGGGTGCCTTTTGGCTCCATTTTTTGTGTGGTAAACGGTTGGCGATACATAACGTGCGTGTAGACAACGCGTTCGAGCCAGCACGCTTCCGCACTGAGCAAATCACCAGCGTTGGGGGGGGGGAAGGGGGGGGGGCTACGCCTCGATCCATCTCCTCGACAATCGAACAGAAAAATCTCGAGAACGTCCCTCGGTGTTGAAGTCGCTTGGTTCGATAAAAGGCGTTGAAAACCGATACCGTAGTGGTCCCGGTATGATGCCGGTCGAATAATGCCGGTCGCCCGATATCATGCCGGTGAAATTGGCTGGACCGCACGGAGCCCGGAATACTGCCGGCAGGCATTATGGAGGCAAATGCCTCGATAATGCTGAGGCAAATGCCTCTATGATGCTGACTAGGGGGTCCTCTGGTCCGTGATTAATGCCGGTTCTCAAGAAAAATATTTGCTCACGTATGCAGTGCACGCACAACTCGCTCTAAATCAGGGCCATATACCCCTACCACAACGGCGCCATCAGTAGGGACACACCATGCCTTGTTCTGCCGGCAGGACGCAGGCAGACATGAGGGGCTACCTTGACAGTATCTGATGGAAAAGGGTGCCGCAGAGCAATGTTGCGTAGGCTGAACTTTATTCAGCACCAGTATGGTGCGCGCTCGTGTTGTTGCTTCAGCAGGGAGGGGTTCTGCCCCAACAAAGGTGTTTGAGTTTGTTGTGTGTTGTGTCGAGCCTGGAAACACCACACCCACCCAGTACAGTAGTCCAATTTTTTATTGTTTGGATTCTCCTGTGTTGTGCCGGTACCGGAATTGTAGCGGGCTTGTCAGAACCTGAATAATGCCGGGAACGTGCATTAGATTATTATTCAGATCGAATTAATATACTGCCGGCGGCTTGCTAAAATGCCGGTGAACTCGGCTGGACCGCACCGACCGCTGTTTTATACCGGGACCACTAGATCTATTACTGTACTTTTATACAAGCATGGGGGCCGAACCATGGGGTCAAACCATTTTTCCGCAACAAGATTGTTCACCAATGAATCGTTTGTTAGCCATTCTGTGTTTCGTCGCAATAGAAACTTTAACCCCTTGGGAAATGGGGGCCCAGAATACATGATGCTACACGATTCTACGCCATTGCTTTGTGCGTCTGGGTCAGACGACCGGTTGAAGCTCCCGCTCAATTTTCTGCGCGGGGGTGTAAACGTTCTGTCCGACGACATGGCACCGTTGGCTTATTCTTCACATACATGTAGGGGAAGCTGTACATATTTGACACGAATAAATACAGGGACCTCAGAAAGGCATGGAGGCTGGAAAAGTATTGTTATTCTACCTGAAATCCGCCATGTCCCCAAGTGATTCATCAGGCGAAGTCGGGGCATCGAAATGCGTTAAAAGTCCACCACCCACAAATTGCAACAATCGCAGGGCGTGCATGCGTTGGGAACACGTTGTGCAGCCCAAGTTATCGATAACAAGAGGACCCTCTGCCGCAAGAAAATGCCAGCGAGTCACCCACGCTCCAGACAGGGCCGTCATTCATCACGCATCGCCGGGTCGTCACCAGAGACACTCATGCATTGAGAAACGTATTTCGTGGTATTTGGGGTTTTTATTAGCCCTTACACTCTCTCGTGGTCATGATCGATCGCTCCTATGGCCAAACGCTTTTGCCCGACTCGGCAACTACCCGAAACAACCGAGGGCGAGCGAATCAATTCCACCCCCGGTTTTTCCAACCATCCTGTTGGATGCCGCACGGCGGCAACACCAGAACCAACGCGAGGTAAGATAATTAGTCGTTGTTTTCGTAGCAGTTTCTTCGATTTTGCGATGCCTGAACAGCAAGCAGCACATCGTACGGCTGACTCCTGCCGCTACGCAAAGCGCGATCTCTCCGATGGCCCCATCACCTTTGTGAGCTACAATGACGAGACCCCGAGAGAGCGTTGTTACAGAAACAGGGGGTCCTGCCTTGGGCATTGGCGCTTTGCTTAAATGTCACGTCACACGTGTAAGGGTGCACAATATTTCCTCAGAAAAAGCGCCTGACGAAACGACTTCGTTTAACCCCTGCACCAAAACAGTGGAGACAATCCTGACAGGGTGTTGCAGGGTGTAAGGCAGGACAGCCGTCAGCAATGCCATCTCTCGGGCTCTCACGTTTTCGGCAGAAACCACAGCTAGCTGCCCTTTGAGCAACAATGGTAAATAATCGACACTTGCTTTTCTTCCAGAGACACAACAGTTGAATTGGTACACCCGACGGACACGGCGAAGCCTTAGGCTTGGTCGTCGTTGACGAAAAGCGCTACACGTAGCTACTCAGACCGATACCCGTGTTCGATGTGTCGAAACTTGCTGCTCGCATCTTTGCACACTACAGGTCACGTAAAGTGAGAGGGCAAGAAAACTCGCCCACTCCCTATCAACCTTCCCCACCCTTCGCAGCGTGTTTTCGGGCGTGCGCTCTCACCCGAGCGGCATGCTCAAAACCTATCTGTGGATTATCTAAAATGAAAAAAAAAAATTAACCTGCACCCAAAACTTCTCTCCAAAAGATGAGGAGTCACCCACCCGACAAAAAAAACACAACTATTATAGAGAAGTAAAAAAATAACACACTACGATATCTTTCTTTCATCTAGCAGACAACAGCAGCACAGGCATGAGGCAACGCAACAATCGCCCAACGAAAGCGAAAGATTATTCCGATTTATATCACTTTCGTTTCAGGCATGTGTACATGTGGTAGGAACAGTGAGTGTAGCACACGGTCAACGTAGTTTACGGGCTACTTGCTCTCTCTCTCTCTTTCTCTCTGCCTATCCCGCTCTAAGCTAAATAACTATTGTCGTACCTCACAAGACCAACACAAAGTGATTGGCATGCAACACCCATCACCGCACCATAACGTACCGACAAGAACACTCAAGACGGTTTTGAGAAGGGACGCTAAGCTTGGTAGAGCTAAGACAAGGCGCAAAGAGGGTAGCAGGGACCAATACAATCCGAGACAGATTTCTTGAACAAACCATACGTGTAAGTGCACCGCGCGAAACAAGAACGAGGTGTTCGTGCAGCAGCTATGAATAGCAGTGCCGGCCTAGGTGAAGTCTCGCACATGCTGCACAAACCAACAGATTACACGTCGGAAACCCGCCGAATGATACACGGATGGATACGACCAACGCAACACCGGGAAAAAGAGAAGGAACACCAACACGCGCAACGACATGCGCTGCCCCATCATTTTACATACGCGTACACAGAATAATATAAGTGGCTACATAAATTATAGTTATGACAACTGTAGGCAGTATTATCATGCTTGTTGACTCTACTGCACTTTCTCCCTCGAGGTAAAAACATTACAAAAACGAACGGCTGCAAAGAGAAAAAAATATATGAACCAATCACCAACCGGCAGTGACAAAGCTGCCTTCGAAGCCCACGTGATGCTGAGAAGAGGCGAGCTGCTCCCCCCCCAGCCCCGCCACAACCCTCGCCAGAGACATCTCGCGCGTGAGAGAAGGGATGTGCCACGGGCAGCACTCCAGGTCATCATCTTCCTCCACGTCCTTCATGAACTCCGCTCCCCCGTCCAACATCATCGATGCCGCGAGCGTGGTGCGCGCGGCCCCCGCTACCCCCTGCTGAGCCGAAGAAACGTCCATCGGGTCGTCGCAGACGGACGGCAGCGACTCCTGCGCCGAGTGGTAGGACGCGAACACTCTGTCGCTGCTGCCGCTGCTGCTGCTGCTGCCGCTACTACTCCTTCGTACCGCGAACGCGGGAGCCTGGTGGGCCCGTGCCTGCTGCTGCTGCTGCTGCCGCTCCGTCGCCATGTTCACGAGCGTCACCGAGCGAGGCCGGTCACCTTCCCCCGCCGCCGCCGCCGCCGCCGCCGCCGACGACGACGAGGAAACTTCCCAAGGCCGCATGCTTACTATCTCGTGACGCCCCCCGGCCACGCTGCTGCTGAACACCGGCACTGCTGCCCCTGCGCTCGAGCGGTGTAGCTGCTGCTGGGCATCCGTCGATGCCTCCCGGGCCCAGCCGGGAAGGCCGCTCGACCGCTTGATTAGAAACGTGGCCGGGGGCGGCGGCGGCGGCGGCGGCGGCAGCGGCGCGCCGACGGTGAGCGGGGAGTGTTGTCGGGGCGGCGGCAACGTCTCACCGATCAAGGGGGAAGAAGGCGGAGACTCGTTCAAGAACGAACTACACGAAGAAGAAAAGGATGAAGACGATAAGGACGACGAGAGGACAGGGAGCGGTTCCACCACCGCCTCCGCCTCCGACTCCGACTCCGCCGCCGTGGGCGCTTTCTTCATCTCCTCGGCGGCGTGGTCGTCACCCCCGTGGCTGGAGACCGGCGACACCGGAACCGGGCCCTGCCGGGCGGTGGCACATCGCTGCTGCGGCGGCTTGCCGCCGCCGATGGAGATCTTGGTCCTCTTGTTCTTGTTCCTTTGTCGCCGCGGCTGCTCATCGTCACCGGCCTCCTCGTCCTCTTCCGACAAGGCCGCGGCCTCCCTGCTGCGGTCCTCGTCGTCCAGGGAAGAGCAAACCGAGCTGCTGCTGCTGCTGCTGCTGCTGCTGCTTGAGGAGGAGCCGCCGCCATCGCTGCCGGAGGACGAGGAGGAAACGGATACGGTGCGGGAAGGGGAGACAGCCTCCGCCGAGGGCTCCTCGTCCTCCTCGTCCCTGTCGCGGCCGAAGAAGGAAGACGCCGCCCTCTTCATGTGCCGTCTCGCGGAGGTTCTGGTGCCAACCACCACCACCGGGCTCGGGAGCGCGGCGGGGGCGGAGATTGCTTGCTGTTGCTGTTGTTGGCGGAGAGGCCGACCGCGAGGGCCTGACTTGCGCCGCTGGGAGTAGGTGCAACCCTGCCCTCGCCGGACGCACTGCTCGCAGGGGGTGCCGCCGTTGCAGCCGCGCTTGCTCCTGAAAAAATGGTGTTACCAGCGACGTGGTGACAGGGAGAAGAGGGGGAGAAGAGGGGAAGAAAGAGCGCGGAGGAGCAGTCATGTTACGGCTGTTCTGCGAGAGGCGGAAAGCGCGTGTACCAGAGCGATCAACGTGTATTTTTTCGCCCCGCACCAGCAAGTAGTCGTTGAGTCTCTTTTTGTGAGACGAGAAAGAAAGTTTTGTGGAGAGGCAGGAGGAGGGGCAAGCAGCGCTCCCCACCCGAGTTGGCACTGCTGTCTGCCTAGCAAGCGAGGCGAGAGAGCTAGCAGCGCAGCCACCGATCACAGGGGAGAGGAGAGCGGACTAGGCGACTACAGCTGGTGCTTACAGCACAGCAGCAGCACACCCCCTCCTTTGTGACATGTGGTCAATCCAACCAACTTTTGACTTCGGGCCGAATGCAGCAACGCACACGAATAGGGCTCAAGAAAACAACAAACATGCCGGGTCGGGTGCTCACCTCACACAGTAGTCGCACGCCTTGCGGAAGACCCCCGCAAGCAGCGGCCTTGGCTTGCCTCGTCCAGCGGCAGAGGGACCCATCCTGGTGCACAGCAGCGGGTGTGTTGTGGCCCCTGACCACGTTGCTGCTGGTGAGCTGAACTCGATTCCGAAATATCTCCAAAGAAAGGGGGGAAGCAAAGCGAGCGCGCGAGAGAGATCACTCTGGCGCGCCGTGCACACACACGTTGCAGTTGAGGGCAGGGAGGAAGAGCGTCCAGCACTGTCAATATTTATGCGACGGCGGCTGGGGTAGGGCGAAACACGAGTTGGGGTGTTCGTGGTGTGCGCTCGGCGCAAGAGATGAGAGAGCGTGTGTGTGCTTCCTGCGCATCTGCGCGTAATGTTCGCGGACCGTTCTTTTCTTGTGTGTTCGCACCCAGCTTGTTTCGCGTATCTCCGGAGACTTTGACGTTGCTCGGGGTTATGGTTGCGCGTAGAACTTTCCCGGAAACATGTGACACGGGTGATCTCGGGAAATCTTTCCTTTTTGTTTTTTCTTAATATGCTTTTTTGTTTTTTTTGCACTCACCAATCATTGCATGATACGCGGTGTAGTGAAACTATTGGGCCACGTGTAGTACAACGGGTGGCGGAAACGTGTTCACGCACTGCTGTATGCATACCTCCACAGAACCCAAAAGGTTTCTCTGTTCGTGATTGATCGGCGAGGGGCGTCGAGCGTGATGCTGCTTGATGCTGGAACCTGCCTTCACGACGTACATTGTACGACATAGTCTAGATTACCTGCTCCCGTGTTGTTGTTGTTGTTGTTGTTGCCTTGACATTAAAAATGTATGTTGCATATGACATGACAAAACAGTTGTGCATGTAGTCTCCACGGGCCCACGGGTGGGAGCTGTTCCATGTGCCGCAGCCGCAAACTTACAACTTTTGCCGACCGCCAAACCCACGCCATCAGCGAAATTCGAACGCAGTACCCTCCATGTCGCTATATAAAGCGGGATATAGACAATATCAAAAGGTGGCGCGAGACAGCAATGAATGGCACAGGGGGAGGAGGTTGGCCCTACCTTGCCATCGCAGGGATTTTTGTAAGGGGAAGCTTAAAAAAATACATGACCGCCTGTCTGTGGTCCCGTGAATTCTCTTTTTCTTTAGTAATATAATGTGTGCTCTCATCTACTGTACGATGGGTACATACTTCAATTTGAGATTGCGTGCTCAAAGTTAGAGTTCTGTGAGCGGGTGGAGGGTGGAGTTCTCCGGTTTCGCTACCCATGGAAGATACTGCTGTCTGTGAGCAGACAGCTTGCCGAACTTCAATGTGACGAAAACAACAATATGGCATAACATATATGGTGCGTGACACGGTATCCTGGACGCCTGCTGACTGCGCCTTCCGGAACTTGGAATGTGTTTCCATTTCTAGATCTAGCCTATGCTGCAGTTGTAGTTCTTCGGTGATCTCCTTCAATTCTTGTGACCCCTAAATTTTATGGTAACCGAAAGTTGGCCCGACGTAGTTTTTTGGACTAGCATACCCCCACCCCCCTGATTTGCCACGGATTCGACTAAGAAACAGACCTCTCACCACATCACCACAGAGTTCTCCCTCCATGATGGCCGGATCGTCACCATAACTTGAACGCTGTACGCACCTCACCTGTAAGCGTCTTTAAAGCTAATGTCGAATGCTGTTGA